ATGACGCATGCATGCGCATAAAGCACATCAATATAGCCCTCAGTTTCAGTTTGCTGTTAAAGGAACGTGTTGCAGAACTTGGCAACACATGATGATTCCACTACTTGAGGCTGCAAGACTCACCATAATCCCCTGTAACGGACGTGTAATGGCAGGTGGCGTCCCTTGTGTGGACAATGGCTTACGTCAGAACTTGATTTATAAATTAGAATGCACAAAATGAAAAAATAATGAAATTGGAATAAACCCATTCTGTCCCATCCAGCTGCCATTTAAAGTATGGCTGCAGTACATGAGAAGTGTGTAGTTGCCCACACTGACAAGGACTTGAAAAACATAACCAGTATATGTACGAATTAGCAGTTTTATTGTTTGTTCAAACTATCGTCACGTGATGGTAAAACAGCCAGCTTCCTTACATTAACTTGCCTAAAACTGAAGGGATCGGAGCAACAGCCTTATCACGTTCATATGGAGATAAGTGAATGAAACTTCAGTGGCAAGAGCCATCCATATGACGGCATGCCAATTGCAAGAGGGCATACTTTTAAATTAGCTTTCTAATAGTCCTTTTATGTTGCGAATATCATGGCAGATCGAGTCTTTGGTGTCCACGTACACAAGTTTTGGCGTACAATCGAGCATGTTCTTTGGACAATGATTTCTAAAGGCGCCACACGAGTTTTGCTGAATCAAGGTTAAAAGGTTCAAGGCCGGGTTTTTCGAGGCTGCATGGTAGATATGCGGAGGACAGGTCCACTTTTTGAAGCCATGGATGACAAAACCGGTGTCACATACATTTGACTTGTGCCGTATGTTTCCACACTTGGCTTACCTGTGCAAGTATTTGTGACATATATCACCAGTGAGAGGATACGCCCATCGGCTGATTAATGAACACATTGATGAAGTCGGAATCACACAATGGAATTTGCTTTAGGTCAACGTTTCCTTAAGTAATATTTATTGTTAAATTACCAATTGTCGTAATTGTTATCATGATATGACATCACCCGGATCAGAACAAATCAAGGTTATATAGCACCTCATCTCTGTAAGATCGTACTTCAGTGTGGATCGAATGGCGTTGAAGATATGAAAATGTTTTTCGAGTTCATTTGTGATATGGCGTAATACTGCAGACTGCAGTATCAACAACAGACAATAGAACTTCACATTATTGTAGAAAATAAGGTGTATCAAAGCTCTTCTTTAGATACTGAATGCTGCTGAAAATAATGCACACAACTATCCTATAAAATTCAACGGACTATTTAAATTGAAACTTCAAACTGATCATGCACAGATTAACCCTTGGCAGGTATCCGATTGTCATAATGCATCTGCTAAAAGCTTTCGAACAGATAACAGACCACCTCATTACCCTCGGCGAAAGCACTCCAAATGAATAAACGCAATCGTGCGTATGTAATTAACAAATTGCACGTGTAACCTTTAAACAAGATGCCCCCATTACATTACTTCCTGTGTTGTCAATTCACCATTCTGTGGGGCTGGAGGAAATAGGATGTAGTGAGTGACATTTTCAATCTTCATCCCTTTCAAACATGGCCCTGATGAAATGTCCTTGGATAATGCTAACAACAAGTATGACTGTATGTCAACTTAGTGGCGAGGAAACGAAGCTATTTGGTTTCAGTGATAAGGTTCAAGATCTATCACTGCCACTCGTTCCATGTTGGATTCTATAGAATTAAACAGAAAAGCGAGCAGATGGTTTTACATGAAGCAATTGATGATTAAAGATGAGTAGACCTGTACAAGCATTGCGTGAACTTAGTGCATTAGTTGTTAAAGAAAATTACCCTGTCGTGGAAATACAAATTCAGAGTGTCAGGAGATGCCTATTAACAGCTTTTATGAAATATAAAAATCCATGTAACTTAAAATGTTTAATTTGTATCTAAAAGATACCCTTTTTCGACGTAATATTTGTATCTTACAACGATCAACACGTCACACATGTTGGAGACGTATAGGGGACTGTTTTTATCATATGTGCGTTGTGGTTATGATTTTGTTGCATTTATTCACATAAAACAACATTTCATTTACGTTTATAGTATGATTATTAGTGCAGTGTCAGTCTCTTGATTGATTAAAAAACGCTATGTGGTGTGCATTGATATACACAAGCAACGGGGATGCGTGTTACTGCAAAACTATTGACTGGGTTTATTAACGTATGACATCATTGCTTCTTGATGCGCTGTAATTGTTAGTTCAATTTGAAAGCGTCGTGAAGACACAAGAAAATGTGTTTATTCAGTTTACAAAATGTTTACTCAATATCGCGTGAGCGGAAGGTATTTCTTAAGTAATTGTTGATAAATGATCTTAATGTTTCCCGTGCATGTGGTTTGGATCAATATGTGTGCGGTCAATACATAAGTCTATGCGTATTCCAGTTTTCTTCATCTAAAATGTAAAAAGGGTCAAATCAAGTCTCATTAATGTATAAACCCATATTGATATGTACATCAGTATTGATACTATTGATATAGTAACCGTGCCAGGAAAATGATATCAATCACGGATAATGTCACACAGTATTCTTTCAAGTTGTTTTGCAATACATATACAACACACATACATTTTTTCTCAATCGCATACTTTCACAAACAAACAAGGTCTACGTATCCACACAAATATTTGTCCATTTATACAAGCAGCTGTTGTACCCGATATTTAGTTCCTGACGTACGTAACGATATTTAATTCTGTTCCTAAGGTTCAATGTTAAAACTGATGCATTCAAGTATTTCTTTCTCACATTTTCATTAACAGGTGTTGATAATAACTGAATCGGTATTGCGGTTGGGATTGATGATGGCTTTATAATTAATCATGGGTTAGTCATATAAATATTGCTCAACACAGACCTTTTCTTGGTTGTGTTACATCATAATTTGACATATCAACTGTGACGAATTTTACAGCGCCGTAATACTTGCTTTAATCTTAATGTTGTAGGTATGAGTATAATAGGATTCTCATGCTTTTCCAGAATCTATGCTTCTTTTTAATTACGAATTACACAAAAGCGTTGATGACACCTTGGGTAGGAGTAACTTGTTGCAAGGGGACAGGAACGAATGATTCCACCGGAGTTTGTAGTGTTACTCTTGAACCGATGGTGGATGTGTATTAGACACGAGTGCATGTGCATTCTCACATTGAAACGTCTTCTCTGGTTAACCAACACATGTTAACAACGAATAATGGAAAATGAACACTTTCTTAAATCATCTTACATTTGCTGCATTATTCCAAATGCGTGTTTGGACATTCATTTATGCGGAAGGGAACTTTCGAATGAAAGAGGTCATACTCTTTTTGATATATGATATAAACAGTGAAAACTCAAAGCTGTACATCTACTGCCAACATTCGTTTTTATGAACGATCCATATTACACTAACAATTCATATTTGTAAGCATATTTATATATTTATTGGGGTTGAGTGATTTCTATTTGGACTAAGAACTAATTGTCTGGTTTTTAGATTTTACACCATGTTTTCTATTAATGAAATGCCCAGAGCGCCCTGGGGTCGTTTGGTCAGGAACAACAAGCTTAGAATCAATTACTCTTCCGCTTTTTCTTTTTTCTGTTGTATATTGACTGACGTATCGCCCCACAAAGCCCAGCACAGTCTTATTAGATCAACTGGTCACCATTAGGTAAATGAATGTTCTGTCTCACGTATAATTCCCCTCTGAAGACCCATTCGGGAGTAACATTCGATTCCTGTTACAGCGATCAGGTGTTGTCTATTATCATAAAGAACTGCTTTATACGGTTCTTTTTTCGATTGATTTTCGAAAATGAAATGAATTGTGGTAAATGCCGTAAGTCTGAACCAGACATTCCAGTGACTGTTGTCTAAACGCAGAAGGATGAGATGACGAGCACTCAGTGTTTGTGTCAGATCTTGAGAAGCACACAAATGAATCGAGGGCGTGTGAACTTTACCAAACTGCGAGTCCTGGAGGATGACATGATGTAACATTCACAACGTGGTGTACACACTTCAAGAAGCACAGTGCACACTGCTGGACAACATAAAGCAATGGTTACGCGATGGTAATATAGTTTCTCCGGGTGTCTTAGCTGTGTTTTGGGCCTGACCACTTGCGATGTGCCAACTACTGTTTTCAGCCGCGCAATAGTTTGATAACACATATATATTTTCAGCGAAGCCAATTATATTGTAGCATCTACATTTGTCAGGCAGCTTAAGTAGATGTTTACTACCGAAATCAGAAATATATTTTAATTAAGGTAAATTTCATGGATAGCATTTCTGTAGCGAAAGAAGCTGGCAAATTTTGCACAGCAAAACTATTATCAGCTATAGTGAGATACAGTTCACGACCCGTAAACCCCTATTCCAGGGGTCAATGTTGTAAACGACATCAGCGATATATCATCTTGCCGGACACAAATGACGATGTTGCGCTTGCACGTATCGTGACGTCAGTTATCACGTGTCTTCCTCAATAACACATGGCACATGTCATATTATAAAATGGCCAGTACGAGCTTCCGATGTTTTACGATCATTTCCCATGAGAAATACCGTCACAGTTATAACACTAATTTTCATCAAACCGTTTCCGCACGACACTACCTAATGACCCTATGGTTATTTCAAGGAGACAAAGTCACACTGCTTGCTCCTTCTCAGAAACAATAATCTGAAACCAAATTGCAGTTCGCACCATGAAGGTCAAACATGAAACAGCTCATATGTGCTTAGATGTCTTTTAAGTCATCTCAAACTGGAAAGGAATATCACATTATCGGTCTGTCAACGAGACAGTGTGGCACCGCTATCTCCATCTCTGACTAACATACTCCATAACGAAATCGGAGTTTGTACCATGAAGATCAAACATCACTCCGCCCACGCGCATGAAATAAGCCATAATTAAAATCGTCCAAAATGGAAAATGACATCAACGTCAATACTCACTTGGGTAATACATCACATCCTTGCTGCATGAATGCCCCAAGGGAGAACCAAAGACTGTTGCCAATGGTGAAGTCGTTGGTGAGCTTGTGGTCGTCACCGTCGACTTGCCACTCAACCGTGCTGAACCTGCTGACGAGGAAGAGGACCACGCTGACTCCGATGAAGGCAAATGCAGTGCACAACCAGATCTCTTGAGAGAGAGGTTCCATGAATGAGAAGACGTGTGGAGGCTTGTTCTCAGGCTTCTTGATCATGATGCTGATACCCAGGCTCATATACGGCTTGGTAAAGTCCAGAACCTTCTCCCTCTCTGATGTTATTGTTAACGGGGCTATGGCTATGTCCGCTTCCTGAAACAGGGATATCCATAGTACATTAGTTGTGTTGTAGCGGCATTACAAATACACAGATTACTTAACATGACGATAATAAACAATACTGAACATGGGGATAATGAACAATACTAAACATGGGGATAGTGAACACTACTAAACATAGGGATAGTGAACACTACTAAAATAGGGACAATGAACACTACAGAACGTGAGGTTAATGAACACTGCTGACATAGGGATAATGAACACTACAAAACATGGGGATAATGAACACGACTGAACATGGTTGTAATGAACACTATATAAACATAGGGATAATGAACACCACTAAACATGGGGATAATGAACACTACATAACATGGGGATAATGAACACAACTAAACACAGGGATAATGAACACAACTAAACATGGGGATAATGTACACTACATAACATGGGGATAATGAACACGACTGAACATGGTTGTAATGAACACTATATAGACATAGGGATAATGAACACCACTAAACATGGGGATAATGAACACTACATAACATGGGGATAATGAACACAACTAAACACAGGGATAGTGAACACAACTAAACATGGGGATAATGTACACTACATAACATGGGGATAATGGACACTACTGAACATGATGATAATCAACACTACTGACAAACGTCAGGTTATAAAGTTAATTTCAATGATAATACGCCGTCATTGTCGTGTATAGGTTGACGTGTCAGTAGGCCTCCCCTGGAAATAACAAATATGCCGAGTTACGTCCCTTAGTCATGACATGATCCAAAGGTCTGTATACACAATAGAAACCTCCACCCTATGCAAGATTGATAAATGACATACAGCGTACATGTATGCTACAACATTGATTAAACATGCTGGTAATATTGATATGAAAAAGAGTGAGCGAGTAGGGTTTAGCCACCTTCCCCAAATATACAGGGGAAAATAATAATAATTTTCATATATTGTAGGCATGTAAAGAATAAGACGTGGTCCACACCGTGACGAACAAGCCGGGAACTGGGGACAAGAAAAGTCAAGTCGGAGAAGTCACAGAGACAAGAAGTCAGCTGGCATTCACACATTTTAACAACGTGTGGATGAGAACCCGGGTCTTCGACTTGAGGACCCTGCTCCTTTAGCAGAATTATACCCCCACCACTCTCCTTGCACATTAAGGTAACAGATTTACAAGTAACCGTAATTAATGATTAAGTGGCGTTAAACCCAACTCACTCACTTTAAGATAACTGAATACAAAGAACTAACTTTTGAGTCTTAAACTAGTTGATTCACCACAATTTAAAATGACATGCCGTTCTACTTTTAATTCAGAAAATATAACATTCTCATATTGTAATTGGGATCTGAGTTGAAGTATTTATAGGAATGTTCTAAATCAGCAACATCCGCATATATCCTGAAATGTAAAACACAGTCTTAATTCAGTTTGTGTCCTGCGTCTACGTTTAGAATTACTCGTTATCTACAGACACGGGGACATTACATATAGACGTTTGCCCTGGTAAATGCTCCCGATTGTGATAAATTGTTTTCATAGGCTGGACCCTTGAAAACATGACGAAAATATTTAAATGAAAGGCTGGGTGAAAATAGAGAACAAGTATACTGCAAGTCATCTCATAAATATTCATGCGCCCTTCAGTCATTGGCATTTTGTACGCATCAGCTTCGCTCCCAATTCTTCATTTTTCAACAAAGCCGGTTACAACAAGGTTTTATCCTGGGGCAAATTGGGTTATGTTCATGCTGGTCGTAGAACACAACATGCAATACGTTTAATGTCTTTCTCCTTATCTTACTGTTGTGTTTGTATTAACAAAGCTCGCTTAAAGTAAGAAAGATGAATAAAGTATAGTTACTGTTAAAATGATGTTCAAAGACGCCGTAATGCTTTCAATTCTACCTTACTTTTGTGTGGACAAATGTTATAATGACTGATTTCCTGTTATTGACATTTTGCTAGTTTTGGTCATATAGCATTAATGTACAAACGAAATGTGCAGTGTCAACAGAACACACATATATACAGTACAACCAGAAATTATTGAGAATTTTATTTTGTCAAGTCGCCATGGGCAGCAATGCGCTTCAATGCGGCGGGGCATACTACTGATCAAAGAAGTTAGAAAGTCGTGGTCCATGCTGTCCCAATATCGGACCACCTCTTCTTTCATTTTCAGGTCAGGGCTATAGCTTGGCCAATCTAATAATGCCATATTTTGGAATTCCTCGACTTTTCTGCCAACCCATTGCATGCAGCTCAGTTCTAATTATCTCCTTACAGACAGCCACAGTTCCTCTATCAATCATATCCAGCCTTAAGTTTTCTAAACTCCTTCGTTTGTTTTTTAGAAACAAAAATACCAAGCCGCCTCCTGTCACCAACAGTCAATTTTATGGTCCTAACTGCGCCTCCCTGGTGCTCAATGCCATATCCATTTGCAATATTTTTCAAAACACGATAAACAGTGGACAAAGGGATGCCTGTTCTACTTGAAATGACTTTAGCAGATATGATGTCCTTGTTATAATATTCTAACATCAACTTCCTCTTCTGTAAATCATCCATACTGAGGATCACTGAAAATGTCGTCTGCTAGCAAGTAAACAAAGCGGGATAACTCTTCACAAACTAATGAAAAAGGATTAACGGAGTTGTCTCTCTTTTATGAAACCATGCGCTTGATAGCTGGTCAAGGTTGTTTATACTAGAAATCCAATTAAACATATTCCTAAAATTCTCAATAATTTCTGATCATACTATATGAATAAAATGTCATTGAACTAGAGAATGTAAACACAAGAAACACAAATACACACATAGAAATTACGCAATTTACATACATATATACAAAATAGTGGACTGGATTAATATTTTCAAGTATGAAATTATTAACCAATATCTACAGTTAGTAGATATAAAAAGGAATAATAATCTTTTAGAGTTTTCCAGAATAGTTGGAACGAGGAGATGCTGAAAAAGGCTGCATGATCTTCATGAGTACATATTGAAGTATCCGACTGGGCCCAGGATGAGACACACAGTCGTCCAAACATGTATACCAAATAATGCAGACACAGAGAAAGTCACGGTTCCATTTAAACCGCAACAGAATAATTCAGATGCCCCTCTGATGGAATCAACACCACGGGAGAACGCCCGACTGAGAAACCCAACACTGATCTCTGTCTACCAGAGAGTCCTACATACGTGTCGTATCAACTCTCCGATGATGCCATTCCATATACCGGAATCGTTCTTGGAGCCGTAATTCCCATCTTTCACAAGTCTGAGGAAGTAGTCGTAGCCAAGGTTACGGGCTACCATCTCTGCCAGGTCCACACAAAAGCCTTCAAACCTTTCAATGGTGATCATGGGGATTCCTTGTTCTGGGCCACGCTTGAACATCAAATACGGTGGATCCTGTAAGAACAATTGGTCTTGTTTTAGGGACATATGTTCATATTTGTAATTCAGGCTGAGCCTGTCATGATTCATCCGGAGTTAGGTCTAGTTCAACTAGTACTACTACGTCAACGCCACAGAATAACCAGTCTCGACTTGTCGAATTGATTCTAGTGGTCGTATATGTAATTAACACTAAGGTGGGGAAAATTATAGAACAGTAAAAATCAGAGAATTGTTATTTGTGATGTAACCGTAATACATTTTGAGTGAGTGAGTGGATGTGCTGGGTTCAGTGTCGCGTTGAACAGTGTTTCAGTTTCATCGGAATTCCTCATGATAATGTAGGTGGAATTCCTGTAGCTATGTATGTTTTAGACATATTCCACATGAAACCCGCAATCGTGTATGGTGCTGGCATAGAATGCTCCTTCCCACACGCTGGTTTCTTGTGTAACGTTATACCAGGTAGAGTAAATTTTGAACGACAAGTATTTAGTTTTCTGACGTGTGACATTATGTCGAAATCCGCTTCCGGTGATGGCTAACAACGAACCAACTATAACAGGTTTCTGGCAAAGCTAAGGGACACAACTCCGAACAGCACCAATGCCCTCCAAAGAACAGACACTCTGTGACCACCCAACTGCAACATTCAGCTGCAAAGGAAATGGATCAGACCACATATGGATTCCTACTTAAAAGCTATGTAAAATGAACAGCAGAATAAATATATTCCAAGACGATATCCCAAGTACCGCTTTACATTAGTTCATAATCTAAATTGGGAAAATGCGTTGAGACAGCTTGATTTCAATTTTACAAGCAATTCCTTAACGAATGTTCATTTGACTATGTTAACGTCAAATGACACGTACTCATTCATAGACTAGGAGTATATCCAAATGAACTCTCACATGCTATTTGTGTGGCTGTCCAGTGGTGTATTTGTACAGTGACGAATTTCGATCATTACAGCAATCAAGTAGGGAATACATTACTCAAAATTGTAATAAACGTCTATCATCAAATTCCAATTGAATTCCGCTTAGGATGTTTTTGTCCGAATGTAATCAACGACTCATTTGAAGTCCATTTATATATAAAGGAAGAACTGAGATATCGAGTGTCACAGAGTTAAATAAAAATGCAACTGCTGTTTTTCAAGCCAACTCCAATTTTCATTTTCGACTTATAAAAACAGGTGATGAATCAGGATAATGGCTTCCCATCAAAAACGTTAATAGCCCGTGGCCGGACTCAATACTTCAGATTGACCGTACTTTATTGCAATTGAGAGTAGCCAAACAGATTTTTAGAACAAATAAAGAGTTTAGTATTGATTAGAAATAGAAATACTTGCACTGAAAATATCCGATTCAATGGTCTCTGAATCAACGTCATGTTTCCATAACCAGAGTCAAATTTCGGCCAAGGGAATTCACATCGACATTTGTATTTGCAGGATACTTCCACAACTCATTTGATATCTTGTTCAATATTCCTGAGTTGTTTTTTGCCAGACTGATTGACATGTTTTCGAAATTTAGAGATATTCGTAATTTGAAGTAGTTGTGCCCTTTATAAAAATATAAGTGAATTGGAGTTAGTGTAGCTTTGAACAGCTTTTCATTTATATCGGCTTGATGAACAAAATGAATTAATGGTGCAGGTTTAGGACGTCTACAACAAACCTAGAAACGTTATTCCAGCGATCCGACGTTAATAGGTTCCTGGCACGCATAAGGGACACAACCCTACACATCGAAAGCCGACTCCTCACATGAATGGGCCATATATATCTGGCTAGCAATGACAATAACAACAAAACATGCGGGCCTGGCGTGTGAGAACAGGTTGCCAGCTACCGCTACGTAAAGAATGGATTGGGGGTTTGGGGTTGGGTGGTTAGGCTGGCTGACTGGGGATATCACAAGTCACGGGACCTCAAACGGCGTGTGACGTTGCTGGAAATATCAACTTCTGGTTTGTCTGGCAAGACCCTATTAGTACATTACAAAATGTTGCCAACAAAGCAAGAGACAAATCAACCAGCCAACCAACCAACCAACCAACCAACCAACAAACAAACAAACAAACAAACAAACAAACAAACAAACAAACCAGGCAGTTAGCCAACCAGCCAACTATATAAAGGTTCCCTGGATCAATATCATGTATCGTCTGCACACACCAGTACACGCTGCAACTTACTTTGATCGTGACGACAACTTGTGTGATGTTGTCAATAGACTTGTTCGCCTTGTCAATCATAAGAGTGGGGGTCTGAGCGTGGAATCCGCTCTCATTCCACATTCCTGCCTGAAGCAGACAAATATTAGATAGCCAACTCAGTCGGTCTTGCTATTTCTACATCTTCATAAATACAAAGGGTTTGCAAGATTTGACAAAGAGAATCAGAATGAAAAAAGTACAACTGCGATTGTTTTCGCGCACAGGGCCATCTCTTATTCAACTCGTTTTGCATTATATATTTACAAATAACGTTAAAACACTCCTTGGAGAGTACAAAACATCCGAGATTCTTACATCTTGCTGTAAAGGGACATGTTGGAGATATCTGATAACACAGTTGTTATTAAATTAACATTGTAAATTGAAGCTATAAGGCGCCCCATGCAAGGCCCCATTTGAGTAGGCCGGAGCAGACCCCCATATTATTCAAGCTCAAATTTCAACAACAGTACAGTTTGAAAAAGCCATCCATTGATGAGGGATTTGTGCATTCAGAACAAACCAGGAAAAAGGAAAAAATATATATCTCGGATATCAGTGTTAATTTCCCAGTTCATATTGGACTAAGGGCCTGCTTCTAACATACGTTAGCTTTCCCTCTGTACATTGACACCTCCAGCACCTGGATCTGATACCCCTTTCTTTGACCATTCGATCCAAACGCAACATTGCCGCTGTTGCCACGGAAACGTTGCTGAAAAATAAAATATGCTCTTGCAGTCTGGGGCGAATGGGGGACATTTTGTATTCGCCTGATAATTGTATATTTAATTTGGCCAGTTAAAGCAAGATTTCAGCTAAGCTGGAGCAAAGTATGTGATCCCCTGCATGTCATGTACAAAAACAATTACCCCCTTTTCCATTTTTAAGCATTACATTTACAAAATTGCTGAAACCCCATTGCTGACAGATAATGGTTCCAGACCGCAAAGATTTGTCTGTTACACATTTCGATGTGAACTATTCACTTGCCTGTGCATGGGTTTGTGACATTATGGATATTCCTCCAAAACTGGTATCTTGTTTGATAAAATACCCAGTATATATACATCCCATTAATCACCTATTGACGCGTATTGAATTATGTACGGTAGTTCTTAAGGCGTTTGACAATGCTAAGCTACCCGAGCGGTGACTTACCTCATACAGCTGTGTCGTAAGCTTTTCGCCATACGACCATATATGTCTTTGCATACAGTCGACGTGTTTTTCATCCCCCTTTCTCATATTCATGTTTCCGAAAGTGTTCATTATTCCATTTTGCGGCTTCAGTAAATCTTTCAACGACAACGTCAGCAGCGTCACGGCGTCTATAGCATACGCTTCCCGGGCCTGAGGAAAACACAAAAATGACACTGACACTCAGTTGATCTGGAGGGTCCTCGTCCAACGTGAAACTGTCCAGATATTCAATATGTCTGGATCTACTATTTATTCTCAATATCATATGTGTACACGGGACACGAAAATGTGTACGTCTCACGAAACGTTGAACTTCATTGTTCATTATTGTATAATATTAGTAATAATTGATCTCAATATATCACTAAATAATTGAATAGCGAAGATAAACATATCTGTGTTACTATAACCGTAACGTGTACATGTAACCAACAGTTCGATACACAGACATTGCTTTCACAACGCTCAGTGGAAAAAAAGTTAAAAGCAGTAAGTAATATTTAAGTTGATACTCATGACACATTCCATGATTCACTGTTTCTGAATATCGCACAAAAGTCGGATACTACAAAGAAAAGACCTTAAATATCGATACAATACCGCATATATACCTACCGGCGTATGCCTGATTTCAATATCTCTGTTGAGCTCAAATCCGGTTATATTTACTCCACCAATCTTGAACATCGTCAGATTTAGTTCCTTTAATTCCTAAAATATATACACATACTGATTATGCTTCGATGTTTTCGCTTTCTGTAATGATTTAAACTAAATACACTTTATCAGGCAAATCTTATGTTAATATTATTCATGATAATTCGCATATCTGCACAATATAGATAGAGCTACAGGATACGTATGTGTACAGTACATATGTAAATATAAATACAGTAAGTGAGTGAGTTTAGTTTTACGCCACACACAGCTATATTCCAGCTATATGGCGGCGGTCTGTAAGTAATCGAGTCTGGACCAAACAATCCAGTGATCAACAGCATGAGCATCGATCTGCACAATTGGGAACCGAGGACATGTGTCAGCCAAGTCAGCGAGCCTGATCACCCGATCCCGTTAGTCGCCTCTTTGACAAGCATGGGTTACTGAAGGCCAATTCTAACCCGGTCCTTCACGAGTCAAATATAATACAAACGAGGTGGATGATTGTATGCTTTATCGGAGAACGGTTTTGTACAAACGTGTAATCATTATGTCGAACTCAATCTTACACGACTTAGTTGAAGTAGTTGTGGTGTCTTGGATTTCAAAGGATAAGTGCCATACATACCGTTCTTAATATACATCCTATGTACATCCTGACACAGAAGAGCGGAATATCACCTACTCGCAAACTCTGTTGAAATGGAGTGTAAAGTTTCCAACAATTTGTGCAGTACACTGAGCTGATCTGGAGCTGACACTTTTTAGCTCTGATGTTTAGCTCTGGTTCAGATTATCAACACACGTACACTTAACTTTTCAAGCTTCTTGTGAGACAAGCCTTGTGAGTGCAATTGGCGTGAAGGACGTGTATTAGGTACGTAAGGATCAATGTGCGGTTGACACCAAGTTCATTTGGAGTGGGTGATTGCTATTAGCATTAATGCAATGTGTTCCATCTCGGCGTCATGTAATCCGGGAAAGGGACAAGTTCACAAGGGTGAAGGCACGATTCCAGCTATCGACCACCAATAGGCCATGTTGCGAGGAGGAAACACCAGCACATGTATCAGTTGTATACCTCTACTGCCCAGCACAAGTTCCAATAGCTGAGTAGTGTATTGGAAGTACAACGAAGTCATTCATGTTTACAAGGGAATGAAAAGTTTGAATTCGTTGCATTTTGTTCGAGATATATCTATCTAGGTGTCACAAAAAAGAGTTTCAGTGTAGTTCGGAATCGTAATTCAAAAGTTTGAATAAGCTTGTGAGGAAACATATTAAGGAATTGACATAAAGTGTAATAGACGTTTAAGAAGAGGGTGCGTAATTCAACCTGGATGATGTATTTATATAAGTGTATAGCGCAGAAGACAAAGCCAGCAAAGGTCACACGTGTTTACCTCTTATGTCATACTGAAACCAGTGTGTGGATGTTGACAAACCAATCAACAAAATCGGGACGCTTCATGCCAAGATATTAAGGACGTAACCATACAGAACGAACTGCCTCGTGACTAGATAGCGGTATACTGTGGACGGAGTGTTTAGCAACGTCTACCATTTCGACTGTGTTCTTGGCAGCACTATGTTCTTGGCAGCACTATGTTCTTGGCAGCACTACGATCTTCAAGCTGATGTTTTTCATTTTTGACCATTCGTGATCCACAAAAACGGATGTATTGTATATACAGAATTGGTTAAGAGTGACAATAGGATGTTTCAGCGGTTGCTGTTTAGAGGATGTATAATTTGAAACAATTATAAGAAAACTTACTAAATGAGGAACTATAAAATGAAACATCATTTTCAAAATGTCCTGTGTGTCCATCTGCAAAAAGAATATTCAAACAATGAGTAAGGGTTGTCTAACAGTAGGCTTTATGTTACGTCATATCACTATATCACGACGGTGTAAAACATACAATCAAGTCAAGGCTTGGCAGACTAGTAGATACTCATGGGCAATGATCCATTGTTTGAGGGCATGGTGACAATAAGCCCAATCACGGAACCAGTCCATGAGTTCCACAGTTCTGTCGGCTCTTACACCAAGCGTTGTGCAGTGGACAATGTTCTGACCTGGATTCCAAACAGGTGACAACAGATACCAGAAAAAGAATGACCTTGATCGTATAATGGACGGTTACAGTGAAAATGCATTTAGATACCTGTAAAAACCTGCTGCTTCAAAAAAATTGACGATGGGTTGAACAAACTTAATCTCATGTTATGGAATAGCATACTCACAATCCTATTAATTATTCGAGTTGATTTGAAAGGTAAAAGGTCGAGGACAACTCTGATGGTCCGGCCGATGTTTATACGGTGCATGTCGGCAAGAAGTTTGTAGCAATCGTCCACACTTTTCACGTGACGGACGTCAATGTTGACGACGTGTTTAGCCATGTGCCCAAATTCGTGTAATTGCTCTATGTGAGCTAAAGCTGAAATCAAAGGTCATATCAATGTATTACTTTGTCAATATGGCAGATCATAGTTTTCAATAGTTAAATTAAAATAATCCATTTAAGACAGTTGTAACAACATAATGGGGGATAAGTATTTTGGTCAGATGTAGATAATTGTTACAGTATTATCGAATGGTGAGACATTTTAAGAAACATGTCTTTAATAAATACTGGCATTTGTTCATTTGCCTGGGATGGGATGGTTTATCTGAGTGCGGAACACCATGCACAATACAATTACATAGTCGTCAAAGTTACGAAGGGATGGTTGTAAGGTACAAGCGACACTGATTAAAAACGCAGTTAATGTACCGAAGTAAACAGTTGTTTGATCAAATCCAACAGATAACCCAACCATAAAATACCATATTGCAGTCTGATTAAAGGACGGAATCAACCACAGTAGGAAATACCATAGTGTATACGCTATCGTAAATCCTTATCAAAGCAGTAAAATACGATATGGACCAAAGAAAACCAGAAACTCGGCAGTCATATATGGCATTTACATGTTAGTTACTCATACGTATGCAAATCCTTTCCAGGGGGACATATTAAATATATAGTTAAACCCAGTGGACCAATGCTTTTAGACTTTATCGCTACTTTATTCCTCAGCCACCAACTTTACATTCAAGCATAGTCACAACCCCCATGAGACTCTGGCACCAAACAAATGTGGTAAGGATGGCAAGCCATTTTTATCACGTCCCGTTTTGCGTGATAAGAAGTCCCCCCTCACCCCACTCCTACAACACACCAGATAGACACAAGCAAAAGAGCCTTTTAAACACCGCAATTTTAGATTGCCGTTTACAAAAGCTGACAAACTCACTGCGAGGTTTGCAAAGTTGGACAAATTTTCTCAGATCTACTTTTTGCGAGTAGTTCATGTACGTAAACAAAAGCGTAGGGTACGCTTTGAGAATGAATAATGGGCCGTTAAGATCACAGACACGTGTCTATAGCTCGGAACCTTGGTAATAGTATGGAAGGTTTTGTCACTTACTTGGGTATGAGACCAGTAAACACCAAACACTCTTCCCTGTCAAAAAGCAATTATTCGTCTAGCCGTTTAAATCAAAGATTCCCTCTTAGCCAATTAAGGATAACTGCCTTTTTCATAATACCACAATATGAAGTGTAATGTTCTATCGATCTTCATTCAGTTTTGGGTTTATCATTCCAAATTTCCATTTAAGCTTTTTGGACGAAGAGATTATATCCGAACCAGAATTCATTACGGTTCATGCTCAATAGTAAGTCCACCGTAATTTCGTCATCTCGATGGAAATGACTGGAAGTCACTTGAGAAAAGTCGCTAGCACCGAATAAATTGCACTTAACACGCCAAATACTCTTTGAGCCATGTAGTGGTGGGCTGGATGCTTGTTACCCATGGGAGATCAGCGTTATTTGTGTGGGAAGCCTGGGACCATGGACAGAATACACTATCGGAGATGAATCAATGACATATATTCTGTATAGATGTACCACAGTCAATAATGTCGGCATAACGTGAACTTACAGAATAACATATTTGCACGGCAGCATTGACAGAAGTGATCAGGTCTTGAAATACAGCCTCTTGGGACATGAAACTTGGAAGTGGGATTTATAAGATATTTCTGAAGTATCTTTTCCAAACCAAGATATATATATCTTGCTCTGACTAAACGTCAGTAAATATAGTACGTCAGTACAAAGGCATACCCACTCTCGACTATTCTCAGAATTCTGGTGTAAATGACAAAATAACCGTGATAAAATATAATAGGACCACTCTATATCAGTGATATCACCAGAAGGTTAAGCATGTTGTTCTATTAAGACCCGCTGTGCACATAATGTGTCAACAAATATAAGTATTTACAGCCCGAGGCTGCACACCAGTGTTCCTACCATGCAACGCCAGCCTGTAACCAACCAGACAATCAAGTGATCGATGAACCAGAAAATCCAGCTGTTCATTTGGACTTACGAGTACTGTGTAGTTCGGGATTCTACAGCGTACGTGGCGGTCTGTAAATAATCGCGTCTGGACCCGACAATCCAGTGATCAACATCATGAGCATCGATCTGCGCAATGTGTCAACCAAGTCAGCAAGCCTGAGCACCCGATCCCGTCAGTCGCCTCTTACGCATAGGCTGATGAAGTCCAATTCTAGCCCGGTGGTTCTTTACGGGTTGTGCGGTTATCGAGTAATGCTAGCAGTTTGTCTAATCTAGACTGGATTCATCTCCCATTGGGTACTCACTGCGGGTCCCGATTGCATTGACGTCGGGTTTGTGTCTACCCAATTTAATTGCTGATCAGAGCTGGAGGCATGAAATCACTGAAGAGTGGACTCGACATACGTGTGTTGCTAATATTTTACGACTGAGCCCACTTGTCTTGTAAGTTAATCGAGATCTTGTGTGCGTGAAGGTAATGTATTTTGTTTAACTCCGTCATTGTAAAAACATACTCCCTTCACAGTGAAATATGGAAATCAGAGTCTATGCTATGGTAACATGTAGTTTCCATTCACCATCGATTATGACATGGTAAAAAAGCAACGTAACATCGGGTGGTCAGGCTCGCTGACATGCTTAACACACGTCATCGTATAGAAATTGCGTAGATAGATGCTCATGATGTTGATCACTAGATTGTCGGGGCCAGACTTGATTATTTACATATTGCTGGAATATGACTGAGTGTGTCGTTTCAGAACTATATATTCCTAACACGTAAAATTCATTCATACAAATTATATCCCGTGTGTCAACTTGCCATTAATGTAATTGATATGGTTGACATGGAGATGTGTTCTTCACTATTTGTACATTTACAGAAATGATTTGAACTATTTTAAGAAGCACTTCAATGTCGCTATATAGCCAAAACATCCTCAGCATCACCTTCGTCAACTTCATAAATATAGATGACTTCTTCCCAGTCGTAGGTTTTGATGACGTCGACCATGGCACGTATGGCAGTTGGTTGTATATATATTTGATATTTGGAGTGATGCTTGGATTTGACATCTGCTGGGTTATTGAGCACGATGAACGGTGCACGGAGATTGGCAGCGTAATCTTGTATAGTGTGATGAACTGCTCGACTTGAAACTCCCAACAGCGCCACAGCTCCGTCGCCTAGCACACTACACACTGAAACAGAAGGCACAAATACAATAGGGATGTCGAAACGACCGTGTTACCTCACTCTAATATCAGGATGTATTGATATAAATACGTGGCAAGTCATTTTATTTGCATGTGATTGGCTAAGAGATCTATTTATTTATGTGAGTGTTTCTATAAACACAAACAGCTTAGTCCATGACCACTAGTTGGATACTTGTTCTGTTTCAGTATTTTTCAAAGATGTCACTGGTATGGTTTCGTTAATAAATCGCGGATTCTGAAGTTATTAGTTATTATGATTGCCTTCGATTCCTCGTAGCAGATTTCCGTGACGTGTGCACAGATGTACCTGTAAGATGTTTCCGGCAAACATACATGTTATGTCCCCAGCAACCTGTGCGTGGCTTAAGTGGACACAAGAAGGTTGATTACGTGTCATCGTATCCAGATAACGCCCTTGGATGCTCATTTTGTTAACCACTGGTTTGTCTGGCCTAGATTTGTTATATCGTCGTTATTACGTCCTCAATATTCCTGAGGCTGGTATTTAACACCAAGCAAGATATTATCATGACAGGAGTACTGTGCATATGCAACATATTTCGCTTAAACTTACATATGACAATCAACATCAATAATCAAAATATAATCTGTTTTGTGTACGTGAGTTTGGTTAAACGCTGCTTTGAACAAATATTTTTGGCGGGTATCGGGAGGAAAGTTGTGCAGATCTGGGCCCCGTTCCACAAAGCGATCGTAGCGCTACGACAGTGGTAATTCTACATGTATGTTAAAGTCTGTGAGTTACGATCATCTTAGCTACGACAGTGGTAATTCTACATGTATGTTAAAGTCTGTGAGTTACGATCATCTTAGCTACGATAGCTACTGTTATCTCCGACGAGTTCAAACCCAAGATCAAAGATCTGTGTCCAGAATAAGGGACGGAACCTTGCACACCAATGTTGAATCTGGATAGTTTACGTTTCCGTACATGGTCATGTAGATATTGCGGTTGCATAAACTAGTGGTAAGTGAATGAGTTAACGTCAGTTTGGAAAATATTGCAGTTATAAAAAGACCTATCAGATATAGAGGTACAACAGAGCAGCTTACTAACTCGCTCACTCGCCAACAACCTCCCTATCATTCTGCTTGTCTGTTTTGGATGCAGCTGGACAAGCAAGTGTCAAACCACAGACTGATTTATGAATTGATAAGGTAGACAAGTAGGCTTCTAGCTTAAAACGGTAATATGTTTTCTGTCTTAGTAGAATTCGGTTATGCTGAGCCACCTTGTCTGAGAGGCATTGAGTAGCATATGTAACGCGACAATATGACGTATGCAGTGTCGTCCTGTATATCAATAAATCCCTGTACAAGATGAATGTTTCTGTAATATGTAGGTAGGCATATATACAGAAATTCCTTTGGCCTGTGAAGTGTATTCAAGGTTTCATTCATTGAACAGGGTTTCCTGTTTCGATACATAACCTCAACTGATCTAGTCAAATACGTGTATCTTTAAAATAGATTTTGTTCACTGGTGATATATGGTATTTAACACCGAGGTTCAGATTCATACTAGGGAGGGCTATATGGTAGCCTCGTGGTTAAACTGTGCACTGGAAGTTCGATTCTCCACATGGATACACATATATTTACCCTCTAATACATACTATGTAGCAGTGTTATACAGTGTCTAGCACAATGATTGTTGTGACTCGGAGCCGACGGGTTCTCTTTTTTATTTAGTTACTATCTAGTGGCGGGTGGGTAACAACAATATATTGCACGACTTTATTTATTTTATCAAATGTTTTCAGTTTTTATTCAATTATCATATCATGTTTCATAATACATCAAACATATGATATCTACACTTGATTTGATAATACTCTAACAGGCAAAATGAAGTCCACTCTCGTGTTTGATGTTGGCTAGAAAATAACGAAATGGTTATCTGTTGGTGATCTGGTTAAGGTGTCATAGGTGTCGTCTGGACGCTGCTGAGTCCCTGAATACATATACTTTTGTTAGTAAAAAATAAACCCATTTAAAATTGAAAAGGAGCCCCCGTGGGTTGGGAGATTCAGAAGCTGGGGAAATCTAGACTTGCTTCATTTAGGGCTTTAGCATTGCAGGGAGGGCCAGGCAGAAGGGAACATAACGTGGTTCAAGGACTGTAAGGCAGACTACATGTAAGTTGGCAGTGTTTCGAGTGTAATGTTTGGGTTAAATCCAGTTTGTAATGTTATTTATAATGATGAAACCGTATTCCATTGAACTATATACAAGCCTCCTACAACTAAAGGGACTTTTAACTGGGCTGTCTAATGAATGATAGCACGAGTCATTACACCGACATTATCAGCCACATAGCACAGATGCCGGGTTTTGGGGACAGTATGACTATTCTGTCCCGAAATTTAAACTTGGGTATTCCACATGGCACATTATTCCAAACTAACTGAATATATTTAAGAAATATGTAGTACATTTTACAAACTAATTAACAATCTACCATGCGACTGAAATGCCCTCGCACAGATAGTCATCCGATGATTTTGGTTGCGTCCAAGTAAGCTTTGCTTGTACTTAAAAGCAACGATATGAATCGAGTGGTGAGACTGTGTGCCAAGTTGTCGTACCCTATCGGCATGGACAATCTCAATCACTGGATTGTCTGGTTCAGGATTGTCAGGTGTCTGTAATATAGGATGAATATAGCTACTGCTGTGAACAATAAACAACAGATAACAGGTGTTTGATTTCACAGTGAAGTCGGAAAGGTTGCCCAGAATGTGTATAATATACTAAGTATATTAATTTAGTATATAACACTAAGTAAGAAGATGTATCAATAACCTGTAAGCATCTTATCAAATACATCTCGCATGTCCATCAAATACATTTCTTCAGATATTCCCAAAATGGCATCCCTTTGCTTGGGAGCAGAAAGGTGACCTCTTTTTCAAGCAGCAATAGAAATGAAGCTCATTTAAAAGTCTAATTAAGTGTCGAGGGAATGGCTCGCAACTTCTCAGTCTAACGGAATGTCCATAGAACGACTGTAGTTTCACTGTCGTCTTTAATTTGAGACTGCTCTTCTTCAATTCCGAATCGTGACTTACCATACCCCACACGGCTCTAATTTAAACCGACTGCCCTTTTTCGCCATTTCCTTGGAGTGTTGAGTAACTCGCAAAAAGAATCTTTATGGTGACGGAACGTTAAATGATATTGTAATGATTATCGTCGTCCAAAAGTAAACGGCTGGTGCCGTATTCACAAACAGGGTTCTGTTTTTTTAATTCTGTCTTGAATTCAAACGGTAAGAAATCCTTAAGTCAAAAGAAATCGATGACAGGCATTACCTGTATAAATGCTATCAACTGCAGAAAGCCTTTGCCAATAGACATATTTTACGTCCATGGATGACCTTTATGAAAACAGGATCAAAGTGAACTATACCCTGCTAGGTGAACTATCTGGCATTAGCCATTTATGTTTCGGATCTGGCTTTGCTATGGCTGAGTTGGTTTGACAGCCGCGAGCCTTGGAATAACAGCTAAATGAGTTAGCAGCGTGTGTTCTTTTTCGATTGTCAGTATGATGAGGAGTATTTTAAGTACAAATACCCTTTTGAATTCTAACACTTTTAAATTCGGCATTGCAGAAAAGAATTGCAGATTTGTATTACGGCAACGGCGAATGGTCGAGCTACAATTTCATCACTTTCTGAAGCTGGGTCTAAGTTACGTGATATCTTGAAGTCAAATTCTCGTTAAAACCAGTAAAACAATTTGGTATAACAACTCATACGTGTTGGAAAATATTAATAGTTCTTTTACAAGACGATGAAAACGTCATGGAATGCATTAAAGTGAAAGTCACAACATATATGTATGTATTACCATTTGTACTACTTCCATTTAATGCCTTCATCAAAGGTCGAAGATATCTGTAAGACACGACTTTTTCCTTGCTGTTATATTACAGTAGATATTTTTACAGCATTTTGTTAAAACTGTTGGCTCCTCATTGGGTTTAGTTTTAATTTTAACCTTGAAGAATCGGATGCAGGTTTACAAACTAATATTTCAGTCTGAAGGTCATGGTGATCGCTGATGTTAGAATCACAAGTAACGAAACAGTATGAAGGTTTCCAATCTGAAACCAGCCTGTACCGTATACAGCATTCATTAACGTCTCCACACAGAGCTTGTCGTTTGAAACCCATCATATACGTGTTACCATGACGGCTAGGATAACTGGATAATCAAACTCCCGTCCAAATGTTGCTCACGCGGTTTGCCGTGGTCCTTTAAGAATAGCATCATTGAAGAAGAAACATTTGGCGATATCCACACCAACGAAAATTACAGGGCCGAATATTACAGGTTATTCTTGGGTTATACTGTGTACGGCAATGTCGATCGTGTCTCTTGTTATTTGATTAAAGGAGAACTCCTGATTCTTATTGTATCCACACAGCCTATCACTAACTAGGTTCGGGCCGGGAAATCTTGAGATTGACATCCATTCATCTGTATACGTTGACATGACACCAAGCCTAATCTCGGAGCCTCACTTGGTCGTCAGTGAGATTCTTACTCTTTATCTACACGGCTGGTATATGTTTAGAAACTGATATTACTGTTTTAGTTTCTTTGAACATAAGTATTTTCCGACAATCTTTGTTTTGTCTGATAGCGAAACTAAATACATCTTCCTAACTTGTAGTTGATGCCAGTAATTTGGGATTCTTTACTGAGCTGACGCAATTATTAAAATATAACCGGTTGTTTTCTGTTGGTAATCATGCACTTTACAATTTATCCTACGCATTCTTGAAACAAAAGCTTATTCTATATTTTATCAGAAGTTGACAAAATCTGACTGTAACGCTTTGATACCGCAAATATATATTTAGAAGTTGGTAAGGTAATACAAGACACTTGATAGGGATGTGCAACTTCTTTATTAATTAACACAACTGTGTAAATAATAAAGAAGCTGGG